GGTTCAGTGGGTTAAATGTGCAATGGCTGCCCTAAACTTTATTTTTATGCCAGGAAATGTGGGTGTTTTAGGGAACGAACGTGTAGATTATTTTCCTGAATCCCGTTTGCTATGGCTGTTTCGGTACTGGACAGAAGCAATGTTGTTAATACCATGCGCAGTACATATCTTGACGACGAGCACGCCAAAGGGCATGATTCCGTTTCCTTACCTAGACTGATAGACATGGACATAGGGGTGCAGCCTGGAACTGCTAGAAATGCATTTTTTTGTAAAAATAAGGGTACAACATGTTTTATTAATAAACACAGAACAGGCGTGATCAGTGGTTTTACACTTATGGAGCTTATAAGGAGGAGATCGGTGTACCTATGGATCTGGCTGGCGTTATTTGAATATAATCCTTTCTAACCACTAATGTTCTCTTAGTGTAAAGATCCAATGTAGTCTAGTCATCGGTTCCATTTGAAAGCGGGTGAACAGTGAGGATTCACAAATAGGTCTGAGGAGAATGGCGCTGTGGGGAGTTATCGGAATCTGACCGACGCTCAAAACTCAAGAAAAGCGAGACGGATGTACAATCCGATACTAGGGCCACATGAATTGGAATTACTTCGTAGCTGCTGAAGTTGGGGACGGAGCGCATATGGGAGTGTCCCTGGTTCTGTGATGTCGATTTCCAATTTAACATTCAACAGTCATCTGTTCCATTAAATTCAGTGCAATTCACTCGACATGGCGGGTGGAATCTGGTCTAGCACACTTTGCCGCTCTCAACATAATACGCTCTACTGTTTCTCTTGGAAGTTCCTTAGTAGAGGCGTTTTTTTTTTTCATTTTAGTTATGAGTTATGAGCTATGATTTAGATTATCTTCACGGCACTTCGGACATTTCCGTAGGTGCTTAGATTCCCCCTACCTCATATACATCAGCTTTTCGCGGTTGATAGTCCCAGTCCTATGTTGATTTACAAGATGCCTCATGCCGTCAGTTTGCTTCTCGTGCCAGGCTGAGCCGATATGTACTTCCAGTTCTTGCACTCTTGGCAAAGATGTCAATCTGCTGCTTCCATAATCATTCGATCGTCTTTACATCTCTAATATCATTATCAATGCCTGCATGATCCATAGGTCTGCCCTCTATAACTAAGGCAGAGCTAGCTAATATATTGGCTCATTCATTGCCAACCACACCCGCATGCCCTGGGACAAAGATGAAGGTAGCTTCTCGCACAGTGAAGCTTTGGAATGACTGTCTGCGTACAAAACCTGCCTCAACCCGTCAGATCAGGCGCAGGGAATCACTCAGCACACACACTTTAGAATAGTCCTGCGACGCTCGCGAGCCATATGAAAGCTCGTGTTAGCGTGATCATCTCCAGTATCATGCTGATAGTAGTAATAAAGAAGGCATCAATGGCCTCCTGGACTGTTCTGCCTGCAGAGCACGCATTAGATGCCTATGCACTTTTTTTTGGGGGGTCCTCGTACAACTGACCAATCTGTGTAGATCACTACATCCGCCTCATTTAAATTTTAAGATATACGGGCGTAGACCGCTGCATCGACAGCCGGTGGATTCTGCCAAAGAGCGCCGAGACATGGCGATACAGCAAGTGAGGGACAACGAAAACGAGGTTCAGGTTCAGAAAGCAGCCCAACAGTCGCAGCATGGCCATTGGGTCAGCCTGGAGAGCGCATTGCCAAGAGTACTCACATGGGGTGAGATCTGGCGAATGACCCCGCTGCGACTGAGCTTCATCGTTCGTTCTGCGTACGATGTATTACCGTCCGGTGTCAACATCGTGAAGTGGTCTGCGGCTAACGACCCGACATGCCCGCTGTGCAGAGCGAAACAAACGTTAGAACACGTTCTGTCCACATGCAGAAAAGCCCTAGATCAAGTCAGATACACCTGGCGCCACAAAAAGGTGCTAAAAGAGTTGACAGCCGTTGTGGACCATGCTAGGATGAGGGCCAACGCGAGGGCTAGTCCTACCATCGTCCCCATACGCTTCCTCAAGGCTGGGAAGATTCAAAAAGGTAGGCTCAGCAACGTCGCATACGCTCCATCTATGCTAGACTCGGCGAGGGACTGGTTACTGGTGCTTGACCTGCCTGGCAATGAAAGGTACCCTGAGGTAATCCGGAAGACCGGCCTGCGATCTGGCATATTTCTTCACTCTGCGGAGAAACGGCAGCTCATCCTGGTTGAGCTGACCGTCCCGTATGAGTCGCGAATGGACGAAGGCCATATGCACAAGCTCGAGAAGTACAGTGACTTAGCAGCCGGTCTGAGGAGGGACGAAGCGTACACAGTAAGAGTATTCGCCGTCGAAGTAAGCGCAAGAGGTCTCGTTTCCACTTCACTCTACAATGTGATTAAAGAACTAGACTTACGCTGTAATGAACGCAAACGGACACTTAAACAGCTGGGCGAGGTTGCTGAGAGGGCCTCGAGCTGGCTCTGGACACAACGAAACAACGTAGGGGACGGGCC